AACAAATAGGAAATGACTTACGAGTCAGAGTTTATATAGTTGATCACGCCCTCACTTTCACTTTCGTTTCTGCGTAAGTTTACCGTGAAACTGAGAGTGAGGTCTGTTTTTAACTCGGGCACGATAGCAGTGCGACTACTTATAAAAACAGCTGATAAACGCAGTAGTGTAGGCCTAAAACAAAATAATTATATTCCGCTACTGTTAAAACAGTCTGCAGCCTCCAAGTTAACCTGGAAACTCGTATACCTCCAAATCGGGCATTTGTTATGCAACACGGATTCAAATCGGATACACAACGAGCAAGGAAATTGCCTAAAAACCATCCAAAAGAATTATAAACAACAAATCCAAATAACTACATCTGTACTACAAATGAAATTATGTATACGCGGTATCACTCAGGGGCGGAGCCAGACAATATAAACATTCGGGGGTTAGCCCAAATGTTATCCCCTAAAATTTACTGCCAGATTCTTGAAGATGAATTCTTCAAACAGTGGTACAAGAGAATGTGGTGCTGGTCCTTCAAGAGTCACTCACAACGTATCTGTCCATAATAAAGCCTAGAAAAAAATCAGTCTTAATGTATTTCACAATACTTCAGCATATTATCCTTATTAAGTGAGGGTCATATTTTTTTTTAGGATTTTTTCACCCAAGAAAAGTCTCTGAGAACCTGACTCCTTGCAATTCTGGAGACTCCAGGAAGGTTGTAGTTCTGGAAAATGGTGGCACTGGAGACTAAATGTTTTCTGATGGGTTTACATCTAATTATTCACATTATATATATATATATATATATATATATCCAACACAAAACATCACATCCACTAGTACACCACACAATATATACGTGACTAAAACACGAATAATCTAGGATCGCATATCACTATTATACAAACCTATAGTTTAAATAGACAGTCATCAATATCTACTCCACCAATCAGGGCCGTCGCTAGGAATTCTGGGCCCTGTGCACTGAATTGCTATGGGGCCCTGTCAAAATCACGTTCAGTGATGAGTTGCGATCATAAAATGTAAATAAATAACGTTCAGGGGTGGGGGCTGGACTGGGGTTAAAATTTGGCACTGGACAAATCGAGCCCATTCGGTCCACAATTTCCCCCTTGAACGTTTTGATGGGTCATAGGACCTTCAATTGGAGTAAATAAATGAATAAATAAAACAGGACAGAAACGAATACTGATAGATTCACAACAAATGCAACAAACTCAATAATGCATTTTTGTCACATAGAATGGCACTTGACAGTAAAGCATTGATTTTGAGCTAGACTGCTGGAAAGTTACTGCTAATAAATTCTGTCATCATTTCCTCACCCTCATGCAGTTCCAAACGACTTTCTTCTGTTGAACACAAAAAAAGATTTTGTAGAATGTTACCAAACCCTTTTGGTTACCCTTGATTTCTACTGTATGGACAAACATTTCTTGAATTTCTCAAATTATGTTTCACAGAAGAAAGAAATTCATACAGGTTTGGAATGACATGATGTTGAGTAAAGATGACCATTTTAATTTTTGGGTGAATCTCCATTTAAGAACTTTATTATTTGTAAATAATAAACACCTAATTTATATAAGACACTGATATTTATCTTTAATCAGGCCCTTATTGAATTAACATTTTACTTCAATTAAAATTGATTAGAACTAAACATCTAAAAAGAAAGAATCCAGAGTTTAGCTGGAGTTTAGTGGTCACAAGTAGTAAAACCATGGTCCTCATTACCATGGTTGTATGGTTTTAAAAATAAATTAGTAATAAACTATAAAATCTGCAGTTAAAAATAAACTAAACATGAAGAAACTACAAAACACCTTCTATAAAAGTTTTATATTTCCCAAAATGTAATAACGTAACATGTATAATAAATACATTTCTGCCAACACATAGGCTATTTGTACAGTGTTAATAACTTCAAGATAAATTAATATGGTGCTGAACTGACAAGCCTATTGGCGTTTCCCATTATACCTCATTGGCGTGGCTGTTTACAGCCAGCATCACTAGAACCTTTAATGTTCTCATATCACACGACTGTATAACAATTCTGTGTCACATCTGAATGGATCAAGCGACTTGCTCTGTTTATCACTTATAAATCGTGGCAGAAGCGCGGCACTGTGCGGTGACTGATCCCTACCATGGTTGTATGGTTTTAAAAATAAATTAGTAATAAACTATAAAATCTGCAGTTAAAAATAAACTAAACATGAAGAAACTACAAAACACCTTCTATAAAAGTTTTATATTTCCCAAAATGTAATAACGTAACATGTATAATAAATACATTTCTGCCAACACATAGGCTATTTGTACAGTGTTAATAACTTCAAGATAAATTAATATGGTGCTGAACTGACAAGCCTATTGGCGTTTCAATGTAGTGCATCCAAGCCTGCTTCATGAGGTATATTCGTGTAAAGTGAAGTGACATCGAGTGTTACAAGCCAATCCGTCGTGCTCATGCAAGGAATTTGATTCAATTTATTTAAAAAATCAGTGGTGACTTTTAAATAGAATGGCAGTTTTTTCACTGTCGGTTGAATCAAAGAATGGAGACATTTAGATATGGTTTCTGTCAATGACCCATTTCCTGAGACAATTGGTCGCATTGGAGGATCTTCTAGTGATTTATGAATTTTAGGTAAAGTGTATAAAGCCGGAATCCAAGGATATTCATTTTTTAAATATTTTAATTATTGTTCATTAATCCATTTCCTATCTAACAGAAGTGGGGGCAAGTCACACATGTTCAAGTCTCAAGCAAGTCTCAAGTCCCTACCATCAAGTCTCAAGTCACAGTACAAACAAATCAAGCAAGTCAAGTCAAGTAAGTGGCTCACCTCAAGCAAGTCAAGTCGAGTCACAGTATCAAACAGAAATTAACTTTCTTAATTATACATTTTTATTAATAATGTTTTACATATAAAAGTTTGAATATAGGCAAAATACTACTTTGTATACCGCTAAAGTATGTAATTGAGAAAATATTTATAAAAATACAAGATAGAAATATGTATCTCATATTTATATTATATTGAGTTTGACCATCAATATTTAACAAATGTTTGAAAATGATTTTGCACTAAATATCTCCAGCGAAGACTGGGATTCAGTTTGGGAGCACGCTAAAGAATTTCAGTGTGTAACAAAACATGCTATTCAATTTAAAATAATATGCTGACCATCACCCCTTATATCAGAAAGAAAATGGAGCCAAAATTTTAATCGGATATAGACACCCGATTTGGACTGTTTCTTTCACTTTGCATGATTGCCTACATTGTTCTTGAAAACTATTGTCATGGCTCAAAACAAGAATTCCATTGCTGTTAATGTTTATGTATCTTCCCCTGTAACTTATCGATTTCTTTGATTTTATCTTAAGAACTAAATTGACAGCTGTGCATTTAAGGTCTGCTTAAGCTTTTTGTTTAGTTTCGTTTTTGTTTTCTGTTTGTTCTGTTGGAACTTAAAATATTAATTTAATAAATGGAATATAGAAATATGAAATGAAATGATAGGCATAGTACTCTATGACATTAATGCCGCCAGTAATTGGTATCAAATCACTGCTTTATCACAGAAGCGTTCATTGAACTGATTCATTCAAAACAGTTGATTCATTCATGAACAAGCAAGAATGGGCCACTGAATCACTCAACCGATTCGTTCAAATCCCTGGATTCATTCAGTGTGTTGCTTAGAAACGCGTGTACTCTTTTAGTTAAATAGAAAACAAAAAAACAGAAATATAACCAAGGAAAACATGATTTTGTGTGCAATTTGGATAATTTTGCATTAATATTTCAGTTTTATGCAATATGGTTTTAAATGTGTTTAAAGTTTTGATTCGTGCTTATTATTTTAAATGCGTTATACAAATTTTGATTTACACATTATTTTTTTGATCCGTGACTATTGTTTGCTATTCTGAAAACTTTGCTTTCATTTTAAAATTTTGTGCAATATAATTTTACTTGCATTTTTAAATTTTGGTTTCGCGCTTGTTTTTTTGTTTTTTTTGTCTGTGACTGCAATACATTTGGCGGGAATCTGATCCCATACCAATCAGCCATGTGACATTATCTTTATAAGGCTGGCCGCACACTAGACGATTTTCAAATTTTAAACGATTTTAAAACCATGGGAGACCACAGACATGAAGACAGTTCAACCGATTTTTAGCCTTAATCCTCTGAAAGCACACTGACTAGATGATTAGACCAGACCATGAGACCACACACTTTTTGATTGTAGGAACGATTTCACAGTGACACGTGATCTCACGGACACTCGCAAGATCATGACTAGAGAAGAAAAACAAATAGAGGACAATCTGGCACGTGTTCTGTTTCACAGTAAAAAAAAAATTTATAAAAAAGAATATGAGTGATGTTCTCTGCTTTCATGGCATGTTTGTAGCTGCCAAGTTTCAGCTATAGAAGCATGATTTGAGTTCGGGGACGCTCCATCTCGATCGGGAGCTGATAAATAATCGTAATGACACCACACAATAGAGCAGTGGTTCTCAAACCTCTCCATGAAGTACCCCCAGCACGGCACATTTTGTATGTCTCCCTATATCTGACGCACACACTTCAGGTCTTGCAGTCTCCACTAATGAGCTGATGAGTTGAATCAGATGTGATAGATGAGGGAGACATACAAAATGTGCAGGGATGGGGGTACTCCAGAACAGGTTTGAGAACCACTGCAATAGAGGATTTTTGGACAAAAAGTCGTTTGCGACAAGCCGCGTTCGTTCAGGGATGCAAATCGGGCTTAAAATAGGCCTTAAAATCGTCTAGTGTGCAGCCAGCCTAACCTTATTTAAAAATTATTTTTTATTTTATTTTAAACTTGAAGTGCATTACACAGAAATATAAAAACAGCCATAGAAAATCAGTATTGTTCTGCAATGTTTAAAGGATGTAGTAAATAATAATAAAATAGTAATAATGTAGTTTAGTCCTTTGTCATGTTTATTTTTATGCAATGGTATGTGTCTAATTTCAATGCCCATACACATAATCCCCAAATGCTGAACACACTTTTTCCAGTTAAGCAATACTTCATATATATGAAAACAAACAACTGCTGATTAGGGTAGTTAAAGATTAAAAGGGAAATTAGATTAAATAACAACAGCAAGTGTCAGGAAACCAACTAAAGCTAAAATGGGACAGTCTAAGGTATTCTCAGGATTACATTACTGTTTTCTGTCATTAATGGGCATGTTTGGGCAACTTTAATTGATGAAATAGCTTCAATGTTGAATTGCTACATTATATTCCTTAGCATTCAAAGGGCTATTACTGATTTTGATGTATTAAATGTGCAGCTTCTCTTAGTAGAAGCAGGTAATTCACACATGCACAATCTCTCTCTGTCTCTTCCTCCGTCTCTTTCTAAAATTAATTAAGATATGCCACAAAATAACCATCATTATCCATATATTATGTTCGGCTTCACCAAATCAATGTAAAACTGCAACAAAAAGACTAGCTGACAGAAACTGATCTCATAATCATTACTGGAAAGTGATTAGGTATTCTGGGTAAGCCTGTACATCGTTGAAGATCACAAACATGGTTGGCTTGTTCATGTTGTCAGTCACACTGTTATAGAGATCAGCACTATTGGAGCCTTTCGCAGGGGGAACAGGAAGGCCTTGTTTTCCTTGAGTGAATTCTCCAACAAGCACCCTGACAAGGTACATGCGTTTGTGTCCGTTGACATCAGGTTTAGAGTAGCCTTGGGCTGAGTAATTTGGGTCCACAGCAAAATATGAACCATTCCCATACATGGCTCCTAAAAACAGAATAAGAGTAATACATGATTGATTTAAAAGACAAATGGATACAAGTGGAAAAGTTTATACTGAATTTGACTGATACCATTCATGCCAGCAAAGCTCCGATTAAAGCCGTGATTGTTGATCTGATCTGTCTTATCAGGGCCAGTTCCATGAAAAAGAAGCTTTTCATTTTTTTTGTGCTTGTTTTTATCTTCCAGTTCCTCCTTTTTGATCATGTAGCTTTTCCAAAGTGCGCTATTTTGAACTCTTTCAATCTAAAAGCAAAAAAAGGGTTTAGGCATTACATTTACACCATAGTATTAAAATACAACAACAGAATCTTTCAAAACTAATAAATAGGAGATTTCTCATTAGTCAAGTCTTACTTCAATGATGTTATTGGTTAGATTGGTTCTCTGGAACTCTTTCTCTACTTTTGCAAATTCCTTTGAGCCTGCTGTGAGTTTTACAAGAACAACTGGCTGTCCTTTCATGTCCTCCCAGTCTGAAGGCAAAGGGCTTTGAGCTGCAGCTATTGACAAAAAGAAAAACATGAATAATTAATCCTTGTACATGATCTATGTTATTTAAATAAAAAAATAATCCCACCTTGCAGATCTACTCTATTAATTTCAATACGTATTCCTCTTCTTGTGGCCTCTTTGCGAAATAAATCAGCCTCATATTCATCATTGTTAATTTTGATTTTCACTGTAGGCTGTTTCTTCCGATAGGCCTGTTCCAGGTCATAATTGGTCAACATATGAAAGTTTTTGACGCTCCGTCCATTTTCCTGATATTGCCACTGAACCACACTGCTAATGAAAAATGCCTCACTTCTTCGGTTTTCATTCCTTTCCACCTTTCTGATCATGTCCCGAATACGACTCTCTGCAGTGTGAACGTCTCTTGTCAGACCCTCCAGTGTGATGACAGAGTCTTGGCCTTTCTTCTCAAGCCGGACACTGACTGTGAGCTCCCTCTGTATGGCGTTCAGCATTTCTCCATCCTCCTTGGTGAAATACATGATCTATGTTATTTAAATTAAAAAATAATCCCACCTTGCAGATCTACTCTATTAATTTCAATACGTATTCCTCTTCTTGTGGCCTCTTTGCGAAATAAATCAGCCTCATATTCATCATTGTTAATTTTGATTTTCACTGAAGGCTGTTTCCTCTGAAAGGCCTGTTCCAGGTCATAATTGGTCAACATATGAAAGTTTTTGACGCTCCGTCCATTTTCCTGATATTGCCACTGAACCACACTGCTAATGAAAAATGCCTCACTTCTTCGGTTTTCATTCCTTTCCACCTTTCTGATCATGTCCCGAATACGACTCTCTGCAGTGTGAACGTCTCTTGTCAGACCCTCCAGTGTGATGACAGAGTCTTGGCCTTTCTTCTCAAGCCGGACACTGACTGTGAGCTCCCTCTGTATGGCGTTCAGCATTTCTCCATCCTCCTTGGTGAAATGAGTAATGGCTGGATCATGGATTGGGATGGTCACATGCTCTCGTAATATCATGCTGCTGATCATTTCCTTGGCTTCACTCAGGTCCTTTGGTGTCTCACCACAGAGTTGAAACACAGCTGGCTCAATTTTTTCAACCACAATCACAAATTCTTCATTTGTGGGAGAGTCTGAACTTTCCCCCAAGAAAAAGTCTTGATGGGAAAAAAAACAAAAAAAACAGAGGGATTCATTACTGTGTTTTTACAAAGAATGGATTGGATTAGCATTTTTATAATTTATTACTGACCTCTAATTTTGGTAAGCAGACCTTTATCCTCCTCTACTTTCTCACCAGATCTTCTGATCATTCTTTGGTGGAAGTCTGCCACCATGTTTGTCTGGAATATAAGAAACTTCACAAGCCTTACATGCACCGGTTTCTTTTTCTTTACAAAGTCAACAACTGCATCAACCATTGCATCTGCAACATCAGCTGGTTTTGCACCACCTTGACCTAAAGGGTTAAAGATCAAAAAGGAAAAGAATAAGGAAGTGAATAATTCACGCAACATGTCAGTTTAAAAATAGTAATAATTATACAATAAGTAAATAAACAAAACTCACTGCAATTATGTAAAAAATAAGATCACACAAAGTTTCTCACCAGTGCCAAGAGCCGGGAAGGCAACAGAAGTAATCTGGCGTGACTCACATAACTCCAAAACAGACAAAACAGCATCCTTAATGTCAGATGGACTGCTGCGTCCGATAATATGGATGATGTTTCCACATGGAAGCTGCCCGGATGAGGTCACAATCTCTGTTTGCTGTATATTTGATGATCGCACTATTGGGAGGGGGGGGTCACATTTACCAATAGCACCTAAAGTTAATTTAGATCTCTTCAAAAAGGTAATGTACATCAACAAGAAGATAATTGCACATTTGAAAGAATACAAACCAAGCTGTGAACATTCTTGTTCCACTTGTACTCCAGCAGCGTCTAAAATGGCCTTGGATACTCCTGGATTACAAAGTAAAATCAACTGTCATATTATAATTCTCTTTGAATGTGAAATAAATAATAAATTATTCATTGAAACAGGTAAGACAGTGTGTATAGTTGGATTAACCTGCTTTCAGTGAAAATGTCTGATTTGAGGAGTTAACAATGGCATCAGTTTTTTCTTTAGTTATGTCTCCTGATGAAACCTCCAGAGTCACTTGACCCAGCTGCATAGTGTGCACCCCAAGAGAGGGAGAGGAGACTTTGCCAACGACCCCTAAAGAAAAACATGTAGATGTATGGGGAAATTCTTGTCACTATCCTAAATATATCTGTGACATTTGGATATATTTGTTATTAGAATAAATATTTGAGCAAAATATATTCAAAAAATAAGTGTGATGGACATCAAATAAGAAATTGTTACCAGAGGTCTGAGCTGACTTGCCAGAAATGTTTTTTTTAATCTTGACATGTCGATGTGCTTCTTTTGTGATGGGACCCTGAATCCCATGTCTAAAGACACTGGTGAAGCACTAATAGATAAAGCACAGAAATATACAAGAAAACATGTGCAACTATGTTAAATTATTAAAATAGTTTATAGTTTAAACAATAAAAGTGCATATCTTGACTTGGTCATACTGTATGAGATGGAAAAACTTGACTGTGATTTTATGGTTCTTGAATCTAATATTGGCACTCACCTCTACACTCTCCCTGTCAGAAGGGTGCACAATCACAGTTACCTCTCGAAGGTTTGTAGAGTTAAATTCCTGGACTTCTGTCAGCATGATTCTGGCCACTAGATCTTTAGGAAACCTAAGATTCCCAGTCCCGATAGCTGGGAATACGACTGATGCCATTCTCCAGGTTTCTGCATTTTTCAGGCAATTTCTGATGATCTGACTGAGTACCTTTTAAAATGTAAATAAATATATATATATATTTTAATCTGTAAAGCAAGATTTAAAGATTAAATCCATCCCTGCTCCTGGAGAGCCACCGTCCTGCAGGCTTTGGTTCCAACCCTTCTTCAACACACCTGCCTGTAATTATCAAATAACCCTGAACACCTTGATTAACTGGTTCAGGTGTGTTTGACTGGTGTTGGAGCTGAAATCTGCAGGACAGTAGCTTTCTAGGAGCAGGGTTGGAGATCCCTGATTTAAAGACAGTACCATCTAATCAGGGGTTTTCAAACCTGCCCTGGAGAACCCTTAGCACTGCACATTTTGTATATCCCCCTTACCAGACACCCAATTTAGGTCTTGCAGTCTCTACAAATTTGCTGATAAATAGAACCAAGTGTGTTAGATGAGGGAGACATACAAAATGTGCAGTGATGAGGGTCCTCCAGGACAGGTTCAAAAACCCCTGATCTAATGTGAAGCTTACATATCACACAGGTGCAATATCATTTAATGTTTAAAACAAACAGCGGGTGACGAAATTGTTATTCTCACCTTATGGTCTGAGCCGTTCCAAAATGGGCAAACTACATGGAAGACTTTTTGACACGTCAGTTTATAACCATCTGTGATGACCATTTCACCATAATTAACATTGTTTAAGCGAGCAGCTGTGTTGATTTCTGACTGGAGCTGATGACCAGCAGTCTGAAGGAGTGCTTGGGAGATGGCACCTTTTCTGAGGTCCAAGTCCTCCGATATAGTGTTTACAATGACATCAGCCTGTAGGAGAAATAAAGGAGACAATAGAAAATAGTAAGATTTACTTGAAAAGCACAACATATTAAGCAGAGGTGTAGCTTGTTCTGTAAAAAAATATGTGGTACACTTGAATATGGTACACAGAGTGTGACTGACCAAAGCCACTGGCTTGGTTTTAACTTTTTTTTTTAAATTATAACTCAAACTTTTTTCCTTTTAAGAATTTTTATGTATTTTCATAGGGAAACAAGAAGGGGGAAAGCCTAATTAAAAACATTAATATTAAATAAAAGTCTTTAAGAAGTAAATGGTTGCTATGTATGTTCTTTCTGTCAGATTTTTTAATTAACAGTTCACTTACACTCGCATCCTGGATGTTCCCTTTGCACAGAGTGATTTTTAGTCCCTCTTGTGTAGTTTTTCTCTCAAGAACAGTTAACCCTTCAGAGTTACCTGATCTGCCACCATAGCTTGAGATTTCTCCTCTCCAGTGTGCTTGTCCTTCAAAGTCTCTATTACCACGACCTTTGGGGTCTTCAAACTCTTGGTTTCTTTGGCCATAGTTTCCATGGCCATGACCACGACCACGACCACGACCACGACCACGGCCATTTCCACGATACCCTTGTTCATTGTTGCTATACCCATGAGGTTTGATTTGATGAGGGAAAGTCATTTTGGGGTTATATGCAGCAAACTCCTTTCTGACAGTTTGAGTCATGGCATTCACAGTACTGCCATTATTGTCAACCAAGTGAAATTCAGTTAATGTGCTACTGGAGCCTCTGTGGTTATGATAATCAATGTAGTCATGCACCTCCTTGGCGATTGTTTCAGTGCAAAGATCAAGAGGACAACCAAATACCCCTGAGCTAATAACTGGAATTGCAATAGAGGAGCAGTTTCTGCTTGACGCCTGGTTCAGACTTTCCCTCACAGCACGTCTCAGGCGTTGCACAGTGGTACGTCTGTCTGAATCACTAAAACGAGGTCCAACAGCGTGCACCACATATTTACAGGGAAGACGACCAGCGTCAGTGATGAAGGCATCTCCAGGCCTCAGAGCCCCATTTGCTTTTGTGTGTTGGTCACAGGTTTGCTGCAGACTTGGTCCAGCAGCTTGGAGAAGTGCTAAAGCTACACCACCAATGTGCTTCAGATCTTCATTAGCAGCATTGACCACAGCATCAACATTGATCTTGCAAATATCCGCCTTCCTGACAGTAACAGTTACTCCACCTGGCATCTGAACCTCACAAGAGACCTGACCAATATCGTCAAAACTACCTTCAGTAAATGCATCTTCCTCCTCTTCCAGCATATCATCTTCCTGAAGAACCACCACAAATCTTTTTTCCTTCAACAGCATTGAGAGCATCATTTTACCCTGCTCCAAGAAGTACTTCTTTGCTCCTGCCTTTTTAATGATCAGTGTGTCCGTGTAGAGACCATCTGCCAACCCTTTAAAGAAGGTCAAAGCTGGCTGGACAAAAGTACGCTCTCCAGACAGTTTAATCCAGGGTCTCTTTGAATCAAAATTCACTTTCATCTTATCAGACTTAATTAAATGCTGCCAGTCTTGTGATTTTCTGTCTTTTATTAATTCAACCGCGGCATGTGATTTGACACGAACGGTTTCTTCAATTCTAGTGTGTTCCTCCATAAAACTTCTTAAGTTCTCACTGACTTTCATCACCGGTTCTCTGAATCCAGTCACCATTACTTTATCTCTCTGTTTAGATAAATGTATAATCACAGATGTTTTTTTGGAAGTATTGAACAATTCATGCGATTTCTTTTTGAGATCCTGCCACGCTGGCATTTGAAGGACACCCTGATCTTCTACAGTGAGGTCTTTGGTTGTGAGAACAGTATTCACTCTCTTCTCTGCCTCAGCAAGTGCTCTTTCTGTGCTTCCAATCACAACAACATCTCCATTTTCGATTGTGTAGACAGCAGTTATTCCATGAGATATGAAGAGATCTCTGGACATTTCATCACAATCCACTGGTCTCAGGTACTCCAGGATTGAATGGTTAATCTGTAAGGGCTTCTGTTTTATATTTATTTTCTTCTCAAGGACCCAATTCTTGAAGGCAAGATTTTCTGTATGAAGCCCTGATAAAATTAGTTTGTTCATCTTTTTGTTGTAGTCAATGTGCAGGTGTGGAGAAACAGCACTTTTCATGCCATCTTGTTCAAGCAAAGAGTACATGGCAGGAGAAATCTCTATGTATTCAGTCATACTGTTCTTCTCTCTCTCAATTTGATTTGTTGCTCTCTCTAAAAATTTCTCTATGATGGGTTTCAGTCCAATTATTTCATGGGTCATTCCTGCCAATGTCAGCACCCCTTTAGAGGTATCCGTATCTATGAAAACCTGATGTTTCACTACTTTCTTAATATCACTCTCCACTTTAGACCACAAGGCATGTGACACCGGCCACTCAGATGTTGTGTAGTTTGAGATGATTTCCTTGAAGGCATCAATGGTATTCTTACTCCAGCCATCAATGTGTCTTCTAGTAATTCCTTTCTGTTTCAGTAATGCTGGATCAGGACTGAGTAAAACTTCAGGTTTGTGCATGTTTATGTGGCAGAAGTGTGAGCTCATCTGGTCTTTCATGGAGGAAATCTGCCCTTTCTTGAGGATGAACTCCCTGATGGCAGGATCTACACTGACTGTAATGGGTTCAGGCAGCTTCAATTGTGGCCTGTTGCTACCATACAAAATTGTACCCAGTGATTTAAAGTAGGGATATATCTTGACTGGAACATCACAGATGTTATTCTCTTTCTTCAAAACTCTGTCTTTGGCTGAAAAATAATAAATAAATGCACTTATGTTGACAAAATGAGGTAAAGAAGTGTCATCACTAAATATGTAACTGTAATAGCAGACTACCAGCAATTGTACGTGTATTTACCTTCTTCCTCCTTAAAGGTAATCATGGCTGCTTGCTCTGATGGATTTGTGATAACTTCCTCTACTGGACCGCCCAATTTCTCAAAATACAGTTCCAGCAGCATCTTGGTAGCCTTAGCTGGAAGATCCTCCACCCGCACACATGTGCTTCTCTCCAGTGCACGGGCCCTCAGATTATACTGCTTGAACTTTTCATGTGTACTGCTGTCCTCAAGGAACTTTCCTGCAGCTGTAAGAAGTAATATTTTACTGAATGTGCCACACACATTTAATCAAGTGACAAAAGCAAATGTGTGCAACTGTATGTACAAGTACAGTATTAAAACTCTCATATAATAACAGTGACGGGAAGCTTGATTCTTATTCTCAAAACGGTGCTTTTGTGCAGTTGGTTTCAATGAATCAATTAAAAAAACTTCATCAGGTCTTTTATGTCGCCACATAATGACATCAATACTTCATGCTATCATCCCTGTAGGTGAAAATACACAGACCGGCCCACTTTAGTTCACGACCAACTTTCATTTTCTATTATCCATTTTTTTTGTCTATTATTTTTTTGCTCGCATATATCCAACAACTGACTTGGGTTTTTTTTTTTTTTTGAGCAAGGTGCCGCTGTCGGGGGAGTAAAAAGATAATTGCATCATCATTAGGGTTGCCAATTAACTTCAGAAGTGGGAAATAAGGGACAAATGATGATTCTTTATCAGAAAATAAGGGACAGAATAAGGGACACTCAAAATATTTGTACTGTACCAAACTGTATGTCTGCCTGCAGTTAAAAAGTTTTTAGAATAATCACACTTGTTTTGCTTAACCTATTTATGTTCAGTTATTCTAAATCTAATTTTAATGTCATACAAAAAATGTCAAACTTTACCCTTAAAAATTGTACCATTATAGAATTGTAAATGCACATGTAGTGCAGTAGGCCTAATTTAGGAGGTGAAATACTGTGAAATTACATACAAATGGCATAAAATTTGAAAGCATAACAACTGAACATCTATGAAACGTCAGTCAATAAAGCATTTTTTAAACAATGGCACTTATTTTTTTAAACTAAAATGTAAAATGTTATTGCAACCATAGCCTATGAATGAATGAAAATGCATGTTTTTCAATTGAAGAAAACTTACAGTGTAGGCTTCTGGTGCTTGGATTTGTACTTCAATAATGAGGTCCGAGTTTAAGGATGAATTAGCTAAATTTATTCAAATGTATTGTTGTTGCCGCCGCCGCCATGTTGTGAAAGCGCTGTGTGTTTCATTGTGAAAGCGAAACTACTTTGTTTGGCCTTCCAAAAGAGGACGAAATCCGTTTCGTCATGCCTGGAGCTGATCCGTGCTGGTCGCTGAGGAAATACATCAACTTCGCGCTGTGGATCGCCGGATCGGCTTTCACCGTGGACGAAGCGGAGTCCAGCCCGGGGTCGTCACATGTGGTTGGCGCAAGCCCGCCGGCCACTCTTTCGTCGAATCCGCTGGCCGTGCCGTTCTCAAGCCCACCCGCCTCCGCTCACTCAAGCCCGCCCGCCTCACTATAGGCCGCCAGCCGTTGCTCACTCTAGCCCGCCGTGTGTGACGCTGTGTGTTTCGTTGTGAAAGCGAAACTACTTTGTTTGGCCTTCCAAAAAAGGACACGACTAGAAATCAGTGGTTAAGTTGTATTTACAACACTGTTCCAGAACAGTTCAACCCAAATATTCAGATGTGTGCAGTGCATTTTATGGAAGACTGTTTCCTGATCCTGAGTAGAGTAGACTACAATGCCGGCTGTTCTGACTCACAGACTGTAGGTACGTTTTTTATATTTAAAGAATTTTTAATTTTGAGTGGAAGCAGAAACACGTTGTTTTCGTGCATGTACAGTGGGGGAAAAAAGTATTTAGTCAGCCACCAATTGTGCAAGTTCTCCCACTTAAAAAGATGAGAGAGGCCTGTAATTTTCATCATAGGTATACCTCAACTATGAGAGACAAAATGAGAAAAAAAATCCAGAAAATCACATTGTAGGATTTTTAAAGAATTAATTGGTAAATTCCTCGGTAAAATAAGTATTTGGTCACCTACAAACAAGCAAGATTTCTGGCTCTCACAGACCTGTAACAACTTCTTTAAGAGGCTCCTCTGTCCTCCACACGTTACCTGTATTAATGGTATCTGTTACTTTTTTGCCCCACTGTATCTTTAAATGCAAATGAGCTGCAGCTCCCCGCCACCTTTTCCAGAATAGAGCTGTGCCTTTACACCAGGGCTGTCCAAACTCGGTCCTGGAGGACCGGTGTCCTGCAGAGTTTAGCTCCAACTTGCCTCAACACACCTGACTGGAAGTTTCTATGTCTAGTAAGAGCTTGATTAGCTGGTTCAGGTGTGTTTAATTAGGGTTGGAGCTAAACTCTGCAGGACACCGGCCCTCCAGGACCGAGTTTGGACAGCCCTGCTTTACACCTTGTACCTCAGACAGGGTTGCCAGGTCCCAGAAAAATTTCCAACCAAAAGCTTACTCAAAACCCGTCCAAAAACAAAGAAAACTAGCCCAATTGTTTGCTGTGTTATTCCATTAATGCACTTTAAAATAAACATTTAAATTGTATTTATTCTATGTTTTTCATTATTGCGAGACTTGTTTATATGTAGTATGTGCATTTTTAATTATTGAATTTGTTTTTGGGTTTTTTTCTTTTCTTTTACTTTTCAGTTCTTTTCATGATAACTTTTAAAATTAGGGCTGGGCGATATGGCCAGAAATAATCCGAAAATATTTTTTCCATATCATACTATATCAATATTTATCACAATATTAATTTACCATTAATATGGTAGGAAATGCTTCCCACGTGTTTGTTAGACCTTGAGAATGAATGTAAACATAACTTTTTTTTGTTGTTGTTGTTGTTCATAAACTCCTTTAAGCCACCTTTGAATTTAGGGCCCCATGTAATCCATTTTATTTTTCGTAAATTCTGTGTTTTCTATTTTATTTATTTTGTATTTTATGATAATACAAATTTATCTTTAAAAAATTGTGTCAAATGAAATGGATTAATACAAATATAAAAATTAAAATAGAAGATAATATATAACAATTAATTTACAACAAAACATTGCATTTTTTGGTCAAATAAAATGCTGCTCGACAAAACCTTATGTTTGATATAAAAACATGAATGAAAAAATATCAGTAATAGTATTATAACTTTGAGAAGTACATCATAGTAATATGTTTCTGTTCAAATTTATTCATGGTTGTCATCAGGTTTTTCAAATGAAACGGCGAAGAGCTCTCAAGTAACTCTTGGAGGCTCTAGAGATGAAGTTCATGTGTTCATGTCCTCATTTAGTGAGATGCAGATGCTGAAATCACCAAGCTTTATGTGTGTTTGAGTTTGCGTAGTAGCCTAGATGGAACTACGCCAGTCATTTGAACAGAGATGTGCAGAACATGCAGACTTACAAGCGACATGCTTTGACTGGCTGTTGTCGTGTTTATTTCTGCTGTGTGAAAGCCTTAACATCTCCTGTGGGTGAAACTCACCTAAATTGTGATTTGACATCCGTCTCTGCATAATACACATTAGTAAAAGGATCTATTTTCATTTTGTTTTGTCTATAGATAAACCTTAGGGGGCCGTGGTACATTATAAAAGTAGCCCAAAAAACCGCAACCCTGTACTCTGTACAACTCCGCAACTCTGTAACTTTTCCTGCGACCGCATTTTCAAAATAGCCCAATTGTGCGGGGAAAACCGTGACCCTGGCAACACTGACCTCAGATATTCTACCAAAAAACATCTGTCTGGTTTTGATTATCATGTATATCGCGATGAAATCATGCGTTTTAAAGCCATATCAGTTCAAACTTCTGATATACGGTTCTCTGAGCGCACACATCCGAAGCACGCACACAGAAAGCGGCTGTCACACGGCATGTGAGTACTAAACTAAGTTCTCTTTCATGTCTTTTTGTGCTTAAACTGTCAAATACACACAAGTTTATGTTAAAAACACACATGAGTTACAAAAACAGCCGGTTATGTCTGTGAAGGTGACAGGTGGGAAATAAATTGCATGTTTATATTAGATCTGTTTGGCAGCAGCATAATATACCATAAATAAATCAATAAATCCACTGCTCTCTTGTCTCCTCTGAAACTTGGACTCTAAACCGTGTTCTGTGCTCATCAGAAACACAATTGCGGAGTTGTGGGTGGAAACTTGCAGATTAAGGGGCGGTAATATTATAATAAGATCCCCCTTCTACGTCACAGTGCAATCTGAGCACCTCATTTTTTCACAAGCTTGCAGAGAAAGGCTTTCCAAAACAAAGTTACTGGGTTGTTCTTTTTCACATTTTCTGAGATGCACCGGGGACCCGATTATACCACTTAAACACAAAAAAGTCAGATTTTCATGATATGTCACCTTTAAGTAATTTGTGGATCAGTGCTGACAAGAGGACACAAATTGTTTCAAATGATGCAGTCCAGTTTGGTAAACTGGTTAATCAGGTGCACTAAAAAGAACCAGTTCAAAAGAAAAAAATTGTTCAATAACTTGTCATCACTAATTAAAAGTCAAATTTGATTTTAACAAAAAAAAGTTATATGCAACAGGTAAACGTATTCTAACTTCCAGAGTTCCAGATCTAAGAACTCCTTCTCTAGTCCAAAAAGGGGCAAATGTAAAGCTAAATCAAGATTAGGTTTTTAGTGAAAACTAAAATAATGACTAAGGTTTTTTTTTCCTTTTCTTTTCTTTTCTTTTCTTTTCTTTTCTGGGCTTAATATATCATAAATGATGACACCTTTTATGCATATGCACACATTTAAAGGGGTCATAAAAAGGAAAATAAAAATGTTCTTAATATTTACACATATAAGAGTTGAACCTATATACTGAACCTATAAAAATAATTTCCATAGCCTCCCCAAATAAAGCAATAAACCCCGAGAAGCGGTGGTTTACAGTGAATTTATAACAGCTAAGGGGCATTGTTAGGAATGATGTGAAGCGGAGCATTTTTTTATGAAATATACGGTTACACTTTACTTCAAGGGGTGTGCATAAGACTGACATGACACCTTCATAATCATGACATGACACATGTCATGAATATGAAGGAGGTTTTATGCATGTTTATGACAACTGTCATTAAGTGTCATTCGCTCAGTTATGTAATTTCTAATGCAAAGATAACATTGTTTGAGATGTCTTTGTTATGGGCTATGGTTAGGGGTAAGGGTAGGGGTAGGGTTAGGTCAAATAATGTCATATTTGCATTAAAAATGACATAACTGAGCGAATGACACTTAATGACAGTTGTCATAAACATGCATAAAACCTCCTTCATATTCATGACATGTGTCATGTCATAATTATGAAGGTGTCATGTCAGTCTTATGCACACCCCTTCAAGTAAAGTGTTACCAAATATACAGTAGTGCCAAGAATTGTCTATAAAGGTGAAGCAATAGGTATAATTATTTTTTTTATCTTACAGTGTGTTTGTAATAAACATCAGACCAGTGTTTAATGCTATCAAGACACCAAGAGTATCATTGTTTGAGTGATGCTAATAAAATCAATGGATATTGTGCAATGAAGTTAGCCAATCACAGCAATGGGTGTTTACTTAGGTTTCTGCAAAAGGTAACGTCCCCTGAAACTGAGTATTTTTCACAGAGAGTGAAAATGACAACGGAAGATGATGATATTTAAAATTATTAGACCTTTTTTGGTGAAAAAACTTTGCAGACTTTATAAACTAACCTCAAGAAACATTTAAAATGTAAAAATCTGAAATTGCACTTCATTACACTTTTTTAAAAATGTAATAAGATAACAAAAATAACGTTATAATAATAACAACAACAACTATTATTATTATTATCATGTGAAAATGTAAATGCTATTATGTAAATAACAAATATATTTTTATAGGAGTAGAACAACTTACCACCAGGGGTTTTAAAGGTCACAACTGCTTTTCTTAATTCTGGTATTAATTCCATGCTAAAGTCATTTTCAGAAAGACTGCCGATGTTCTCCACCAAAAGAGTCAAAACATCTTGATTAAAATCATCTGGAAGGTTCTCCAGGACCACAGCACTTGACTCTTGAGGTTTCTTCACATCCACATCAGTTTGCAGGACATCTTCAAGAAAATTAGTGACACGTTTAAATCCCCCTACAGTTAACTTACCCAGTACATGCAAAATGATCTTGAATTGTTTTGATGGTTAAGTACCTAACTGATGCCTTTACCACTGAAGAGTAAATTGTATCCGAATTAGTAAGATAAGATAATTATAAATAGTAAGATAACCTAACCAATAAAAAAATTGCATGTGCATATCCTTTCAGATGATTTACTTACTTGGTTCCTGATATTCACATGCCTGCTCCGTCTGAAACCACACAAGCGCAAAGCATTGGTGATTACTTAAATTGAAAACACTACCAGCCATCTTCCTACAGAAATTCTAAAATGCATCTACATCTCAACCATAAAAGCGTAATATTCGAATAATGAATGTTCTTATAGGTCATACTATTCATATATAGCAGTGACTTGATGAATTTTTTTAGTCCTAAATTTGTATTTAGTCCACTCACTCTTTGTCCAGTGCTGTCTGCCTGGTTCTCCACATCACTGGGTTTGCGCACTTTTGTCTCGATTTGGTGACTGGTAGTGTTAATATCATTTTTAGCCTGGGAGAGCACATCATCTCGGCCTTGAACACAAACATCAGATGCATCACACCAAATCATTTTCTCATATAAATGGAAACAGTTAAGTCTCTACAAGCAATAAAATAATACAGGATTACTTGGTTGCTACCGAAGTGATATCTTCACCAATGAAAAGGAATGTGTAAGTCAGAACATCAGCAATGACAGCAAAATAACCCAACCAATAAAAGGTCACATACATGTAAGCAGTTAGAGAGTAAAGTCCACATGATTTACTTACTTGGTTCCTGATATCCACATGCCTGCTCTGTCTGAAACCACAAAAATGCAAAGCATTTATGAGTACATAAATGGGGAATGCTATCAAACATGTAGAGTAAGCTCTTTGTTCTCTCCTTTTCAACAAAATTAAGACATCCATCTTTCTAAAGAAACAAGTTTAAGGCCGTACACTCTCAGGGGGAAAAAAAGGTAGAAAATCTGTCACTGGGGTGGTACCTTTAGGTACACTTTTGTATGTTTTAGGTAATAATATGTACAACTGAGGTACTAATATGAACCATTTAGGTACAAAGGTGTATCTTTTAAAAAAGGTACCACCCCAGTGACAGCTTTTCTACCTTTTTTTATGAGAATACCATCAAATAAAATTCAGATTTTTATGATAGACCATACTGACTTGACGCAATCTACAGGGATTATAGAGCTATAATTGTGCATTTTGTAACAAGTCACCTTTTGTCCAGTGCTGGGTTTGTACACTTTCAACTTGATTTTCTGATTGCCAATAGTAATAATGTGTTCTGCCTGGGAGAGCACGCCATCTCGGACTGAAATAAAAACATTCAGATTTAGTCAGATACATCACACAACTTTCTCTCTCTCTCTCTCTCTCTCTCTCTCTCTCTCTCTCTCTCTCACACACACACACACACACACACACACACACACACAAATAGAGGGAGATGTTTTTTTTTTTTTTTTTCTTGTTCCATGTTTT